GGTTGGCATATGGTGTCATTTTTTTATTTCTTCAAACTGTAAAATCCTTGCAACAAACTAAATTATAATAAAACTAAAATGTTTTATTTAAACCAAACTACGATGTTCCTCTTGTATTTGGCAAATTTATGTTTGCATATTTTGCAAAAATATGATGCGGTTTCCCATCTTACGTGCATTGTTGCCAGGTTGGGATGTTTCCCAATCTGGCAGGTTAGGATGGCCGTCTATGCGTGAAAAATGTTTTTCTTTAGATTTATGGCCTAAGAGATCAATAGACTTTAGTTCAAATTGGGAGAGATTTCGTATATCCAGGCAGTTTATGAAAATGTTTTGAGCTGGAAAACGTGAGTCAGTGACATCTGGCAACCCTGCTGATGTGGCGAGTGGCGCCGGGTCCAGGGGAATACGGATGCTGCGAATGTTCGGTTATATTTACATATCATCCATTATCTGACACGCTTAGTCCCAAGTTGGGTCACGTGGTGCTGCTGTCTACGGGTGAGAGACCCTGGACAGGTCTCCAGTCCATCGCAGGGAAACACAGAGACAAACAGGACAAACACAAACACTCACACCTAAGGAGAATTTAGTTTCTGGACTGTGGGAGGAAGTTGGAGTACCCGGAGAGAACCTATGCATGCACAGGGAGAACATGCAGACTCCAAGCAGAAAGACCCCAGGCCAGGAGTTGAACCTGGAACCTTCTTGCTGCAAGGCAGTTTTCATATCAGTTACTTTTAATATGCAGCATTTTGGCACATTTATGGGGGGGTCCCCCCCCACACACACACACTTTCAACCCCCCCATAAGTGGGCTGAAAATCGTCCCCAGTCTGATCCTGGTCGCATAGAATAATTGGCAGATTCCAACCAACCGGGGATCGGTGCATCTCTGGTGGTTTTAGGTCTATAGAAACCTTTACAGCCCTTTGTTCAGATAAATATGGCTTCTTATTTCTTCCCCCCATGTTTCCCTGCACCTTGTCTCGCAGGTTCCGCTGGTCCCACGGCTTGAACACCAGCCTTCCATCTCCGTCTCTGCTCTCGTTCAGACACTGCAGCTTGTCCAGGTCGATGCGCTGATACAGTCCGAACTCCAGGCCCCTCTCTGCGGGCTCATGCTCCCCCTCCGCCCCGCAGCTGTGGCCGTGGCCGTGACCGTGACCGTGGCCAGACATCGTGGACTCTGACGGCTCTGAACTCAGTGACGATCTGCAGAAAAACCGAAGCTTTCCGAGCAAACGGAGCTGTTTTATGAGCCGAATCTCGATCAGCAAGTTTCGCTTTGCAGCGTGAAGCGAAATAAGTTAAGCTTCAAAGTTACCGCAGCGGCTTCCGGTTTGCGCCCTCCAAAATAAAACACACAGTCTTCCCTTTATATGCAAGGAACTCAGGGGCGGAGGTAGATGGGGGGCCAGAGGTGGCCATGGCCACC